GCAACATTCTTGGCAACATTTTATAAGAATCAAAATTAAAAAAATAAAAATAATTTTTGTTCGCCTTTGCATTTTAAACAAAACAAAACTCTGTTTAGCTGTTGCCAGGTTTGTCATTACATACATACATGTATGTGTGTGTATAATGTTAGCTGTTAGCTTATTATGTGTGTGTAATGTATATGCTTCAGATTACGCATACGCCGCGTTGGCCCGCTGCCAGCTGGCGAGACAAAACGTCGCTGCCTTTTCCTTTATTTCGGAGAAAGTCTGTCTCCATTGCAATGTGCAATTATTGTAGCTAAATATATAAGTGTGTGTGTGTGTGTTTGTCTACTATCTACTTTGAGTTTTCGAAATGTAAACAGATGTAAAAGTCAAGTCTTTGAATTGTTTGTTTTACAAACAAATTCTGTGCGAGTGTTCACTCAATTGTCAAGCAGCGCGTTTTCAAACCAAATGAAAGTGAGAGTTTGTTTTTCGGCGAACAACAACAACAACAACAACAACAACTCCACATGTCAGTCACGCTTGTCTTGCTATTGGCATCGCCATTGACGAGCTGGTGTGAGTGGGCGTGGCAGTGCGAGTGGGCGTGCATTGAAAAGTGATTGCTTTAATTACACTTTTCGGAATTATGTGGCAAATGGGAACTGCTCCATATATGGAAGCTAATTACAATACAATGGCCACTGAAATGTTAATTAATTAATGAAAATTATATTAWTACTTTGTTTATATGACATTTGACTATTTTCTGTTCCACATGCTTCGAGAGAAGTCGTCAATATATATATATTTATGTATATTTTTTTCGGCTTCGCTCGACTCGTTTTCGAACCCAATTTTTGCGGATTTTTCAATTTATGCGAGACCAGTTTTTGGGGCCGCTTGGCCAACGACGATTTGCCAATAGACAGCGGGCCAAGCCGACGACGACGATTGAGTGGCAGCATTTGTAGATTTTTTTTTTTTAGCTTTTAAGCTTTTCCTTTTTTTTTGCAGCAGCAGCAAATATTAATTGTTGTACACACACTCAAACACACACACATACATATGGCATATGTATATAGAGAGGGAAAACTAGTTATTGTTGGCAGCGACTTTTACTTGACTGCGCCAAATTGAGGCGTGGCATGTGGCTGCTGTTGCTCGGTGGCGTGTCGTTAGCCATAATGGCAATAATGAAATTCGCCAAAGCAAAGAAATCAGAAACTAAACTAGAGCCCCCTTTTGGCACCCAAGGAAGTAAAAGGCCGCACAGTTATATTATTGTTGTTTTAGTCAAAAAGGAAAAGCAACTGGATAAAAAACAAAATGACGATAAAAAAAAAAAAATAAAAATGGACGCTAAAAAAGCGAAACTGAAACTTGACGAGAATTTATATTCATATTTGTATAGCCATTGTCTTTGACAGGTTTGCCTTCAACTTCGGCTCAGACAGCAGCTAAAGCAGAACCCGTCGACTAGCTAGTCAGCCAGTCAACTAGTCTGACTGTGTGTCTGTCTGTCTGCTCTGTCTGGTTGCTCTGGCTGTCAGACGTTCTCGCAAGCCTTGCTTTAACATTCATTTTTCCGTTCGCTGACTTTCAATACACGTTTTCTTTACATTTTTGTTGTATTCTTTTAGTATTTTTTATTTTTTATTATTATCATAATTTGTTTATTGTTTTAGAGTTTGGCATGCTTTTTGGTATGCATTTGGCCCGTAGGAAATATATGATAATTTGCTTTTGTCTTTATAGTTCTTTGACACACTTATTGATTTAGCTAATCATTCTAAAACACTTTACACTTCACTCACCATGATTTCTATGCAGCTTCGACGCAATTACACTTTATATGTATATATATCCAGTTGATCTGCAATATAGTTGCTGTTACAAAATTTGATTGTTATTATTTATTATGGAATATATGGTCTACACACTACACTGCAGGTAATTCGCGTGCTCTGCTTAGTCACTTATTGAAGCACTGTATTGAAAACACAACTCCTGCCGAAAGGCACTTTTTAATCTTAATTTTTTTTTTCTGGTGCGTACTAACCGTTACTCGTTGCGAACTCGCACGTTGGACTGAAAAACTGAAACTGATTTGTGCGCAGTCGCGCGGCCAACTGCCAAGACAACGGCAACCACAGCAGCAGCAGCAGCAGTAGTAGCAGCAGCAACAACAAGTCGTGGCTCAAATTGAGTGAAGTTGCTTTGGAGCGTGGCCCCCTCTGAGACTGCGATTGAGCCGTCGCTGCGGCTGACGCTGCGAACACGTCCGAGCGCCATATACGAGAAACGGGCAGCACTAAAAAACAACCAAAACAAGCAAAACAAAACAAATAAAAATATAAAACAGTTACACTTGCAGTGTCGCACCCTTAATACTCTTGCAGGCAGATATGTTACACCAACAACTGTCAAAGTCGAACAGAAAAAAATTTCCTAAAAATAAAAAAATATATTAAAAAAAAAAAAAAAA